GTCGAGTGAGGGTTGTAGCAATACTCCCTATTCTTCGGGCTGCGTTGACGGCGACTGAACGCAGGGTCAAGTGAGGGTTGTAGCAATACTCCCTATTCTTCGGGCTGCGTTGACGGCGACTGAACGCAGGGTCAAGTGAGGGTTGTAGCAATACTCCCTATTCTTCGGGCTGCGTTGACGGCGACTGAACGCAGGGTCAAGTGAGGGTTGTAGCAATACTCCCTATTCTTCGGGCTGCGTTGACGGCGACTGAACGCAGGGTCGAGTGAGGGCTGTAGCAATACTCCCTATTCTTCGGGCTGCGTTGACGGCGACTGACGTACTCATCGGGCTGCTGCTGTGCCAAAGCTGCCGCCACCCGATTCGTCGTGCGCGTATTCATCGGGCCGCCGCTGTGCCAAGCTGCCGCCACTACTACTCGCCGCTGACGTATTCATCGGGCCGCCGCTGTGCCAAAGCCGCCGCCACCCTATTCGCCGCTCGCCTATTCATCGGGCCGCCGCTGTGCCAAAGCCGCCGCTGTGCCAAGCTGCCGCCACTACTATTCGTCGCTCGCCTATTCATCGGGCCGCCGCTGTGCCAAGCTGCCGCCACTCTATTCGTCGCTCGCCTATTCATCGGGCCGCCGCTGTGCCAAGCTGCCACCACTGCTACCCGTTTATTAACATTTCGACTGAACTTTGTGATTTAGTGTTCTTCGTAAAACGTTCTGAACGTGATTTTATTGTGTTTAGTGTAGTGTTAGTGTTATTTAAGGAAATAAATTTATAACGTTTTAAGAAAATATTTTTGCTTCGCTCTCTCTCTCTTTATGTCCTAACAAATAAATTTTTGTGACGACTCTGGCCCCCGCTGAACCTACCCCAGCTTCAAAGTGAAAACACGTCGTCACAATGGCGCCCGAGCAGGGACCATAAAAGAGAGAAAGAATAAATAAATGAGTGAACAATAATTAGACAAATACAGATGAAAACCCAGTGAAAAAAAAACAGTTAAAAAAAAAAAAAAAAAAAAAAAAAAAAAAAAATGTCAAACGAAAAGACAATGTTGAAGGTCTCCTGGGCCTATATGCTAAAGCAAGAAGACTTGGTAACATATCTTACTGAATTCAATCTTGATCCAGTTGGAAAAGTGGACGATCTCCGAAAAAGATGGGCTAAATTTCTCCACAACGACCATGAAGCCGATGTATACAGACGGCTTATAGAGTTGCAGAACAAACATGAAAGTACCAGTCCGACCAAATCGCCGACATTGCGAGCCGTCACAAAACAACCCCTTATAACCGTAACACCGTGTGGAGCAGAAGCAATAGTATTATCCCCAATAAAAACAGAGTACGCCCTTCCCCACATTTCCGCGGAAAGGTCACATGGAGAGTCAAGCACAGGGGTAACAAACGATCAAAAAGTACAGAAGATGTCGCCAACAAACCCCGAATATGGATTTCAAAAAGATTCTCCGCCCAAGCCATCCAATAATTCGTCGTTACTCGTAATTCTCGACCAAATCCGAAAATGGAATATTACTTTTGAAAATGGAATGGACCCTATTGGATTCGTAGAACGTGTAGAAGAAATGGCTGAAATGTACATCGTGGAAGTGAATCAAATAATTAAAGTAATGCCAGAGTTGTTACGAGGTAAAGCTTTAATCTGGCTAAGGAACAACAACCGACACTGGACTACCTGGAACGAATTTAAGAGTGATTTTCTGAAATTCTTTTTGCCACCGAGATACTTTGAGAAATTGGAGGATGAAATTAGGAGAAGGATACAGCGTAATAAGGAGCCGTTTAAGGAATATGTACTCTCTATACAGCATCTTATGCAGCACACCAATATGACCGAAGAACAAAAATTGGAACGAATTTTTAGAAACGCGCATTCGGATTATCAATGGTACATTCGCCGTAAAGACTTTACCACACTTTCGGAATTGATCTCCTTGGCAGACGAACTCGAAAGCATACCAAATAATTCTCGGTCAGAACAGCCTCGAAATCAACAAAACTATAATCGACGTGCGGACAACTCTAGAAATAACCTGTATTGCACCAATCAAGGTGACCAAGTGCTAAACGAAAGCTCATCCAATCCAGAAACGCAGCAGGATGAACCCCCGGCAAAGAAGAGTAACCAGAATGTTACATCATTGCAATGTGAAGAATATCGCCTTACTGCAACTGTCTTAATAGAGGGGAAAGCTATTAAAGCAACTGTCGACACTGGTGCCACTAGCTGTTTTATAAAAAGAGAATTTGCGGAAAAAATCAAGAAAAGGTTTACTTATTCACGGCATGAGGCAAATGTTATCCTCGCAGACGGCACCACGGTGAACATCACAAGATCAACAGTGTTACCTGTTACATTTGGAAACCAAAGCTCAGATGTTACATTTCTCATCATGCCGCAATTCAAGGAAAACATCATATTGGGATTGGAATTTCTAAAACAGTTCCACACGACCATTCACTGCGCCGGTATAAGTGTCAAATTAAGTAAGCCAACCACCTCAACGGAGCATTGTACCGTGGCTATAGGAGAGGAAACCCCATCAAAAGAGGTAATAGATACAATGACAGCTACGAATAATGTATCCCCCAGACCTAAATTCTTAAACGATGAATTGAGTAAAACGCAATGTGAGATCGTTGAAAATTTTCTGGCACAGGAACTCCCTAAGTTCCAACAATTAAATGGCCTATCGTCAATAGCTGAACATAAGATTGTAATGACCGACGATCGACCCATTAAATTAAGATATGCTCCGCGAAATCCTGCAATGCAAGCCGTGATTAATGCCGAAGTGAGAAAGCTCGAAGAACGAGGATGTATAGAGCCGTCTACAAGCCCATACTGTTTCCCCATCACATTAGTCAGAAAGAAAAATGGGAATTGGAGAACTTGTATGGATTTTCGCCAATTGAATAAACGTTCTGTTCCAGATGCCTACCCTTTACCCCGCATCGACACAATACTGAATCGACTACGGGATGCCAAATACGTGAGTAGCCTGGACCTTAAAGACGGATATTGGCAAATACCTATGGCGAAGGAGAGCAGAAAATACACGGCCTTTGCGGTAGCTGGTAAAGGTCTATATCAGTGGAAAGTGATGCCTTTCGGTTTGCATTCAGCACCGGCAACCTTCCAACGGGCATTAGATAGTGTGATTGGGCCTGAAATGGACCCCCACGCTTTTGCATACCTTGACGATATCATCGTCATTGGAAAAACGTTTGAGGAACACTTGCGGAACTTGAGAGAAGTGTTCAGAAGATTGCGATCAGCTAACCTGAGAATAAACATTGAGAAATGCGAATTTTTCAGAAAAGAAACGAAGTATTTAGGCCATGTTGTGAGTAGCGAGGGAATAAAGACGGATCCAGATAAAGTTGCCGCAATAGTGGAAATGAAACCTCCAACATCGGTAAAGGAGGTACGAAGATTTCTTGGAGTAGCATCTTGGTACCGAAGATTTGTCCCACAGTTTGCAACAATTTCACAACCATTGACTAGTCTTCTTAAAAAGGGAAAACATTGGAAATGGGGTCCCGAACAACAAGAAGCATTCTCAGACCTAAAAGCAAAGTTAACTGAAGCCCCCGTTCTGGCTTGTCCGGATTTCACAAAGACGTTCATATTGCAAACTGATGCCAGCAACTATGGCCTTGGAGCAGTTCTAACACAGGAGTTAGATAACGTGGAACGTGTCATAGCCTACGCCAGCAGACATTTAAAACAGGCTGAAAAGAACTACTCAGCGACTGAAAGGGAATGTCTAGCCATACTGTGGGGCATCAGACACATGAGACCCTATTTAGAGGGTTACCAGTTTATAGTTATTACCGATCATTTGGCCCTAAAATGGTTAAATTCTATTGAAAGCCCTACAGGTCGACTCGCACGTTGGGCTCTCGAGCTACAGCAATATAATTTTTTGATCAGATACCGTAGAGGAAAACAGAACGTTGTGGCAGATGCGCTTTCGAGAACACCTTTGGAAACGGTAGACCTAGCCACAGTAAAATATGACACCAGTCCGTGCCCATGGCTAGAAAAGTTGAAGGAAACCATAACCAAGAATCCGAAGAAGTATCCAGACTATACAATCATTGAGGGAAATGTTTATCGACATTTTCCCAAGCAAATAAACGATGAAGATTGCACACCATGGAAGCTGTGTGTGCCCACCGGATCAAGGATTCAGGTCCTTAGAGAAAATCATGACAGTGTCACCGGAGGTCATTTGGGAGTGCGAAAGACTAGCAACAAGGTGGCGAACCGATATTTTTGGCCTGGTATGTTCCAGGACATCAAACGTTATGTCCAGCAGTGCGAATGTTGCCAAAAATATAAAGTCAGCCAACAGAAACCAGCAGGGGAAATGTTGATAAGAATCCCGGAGGAACCATGGGCCACTATTTGTGCGGACTTCGTAGGACCCCTACCGCGATCTAAGCACGGTAACTCAATGCTACTCGTTATTATGGATAGATTCTCAAAATGGACGGAGTTGGTTCCATTGCGGAAGGCTACGACAGAGGGATTAATAAAGGCATGCAGAGAAAGAATTATTTCTAGATATGGGGTTCCAAAAATATTGATAACCGATAACGGAACCCAATTCACTAGCAACCAATTCGAAAAATTCCTAGCAGAAATGGGTATAAAGCATCAACTTACGGCTCCTTACACCCCGCAAGAGAACCCTACTGAAAGGACAAATCGGACAGTGAAAACAATGATAGCACAAGTTTCGAAACAACATAATACATGGGACGATATGCTGCCCGAAATAATGTTAGCCATAAACACTAGTGCATCAGAATCCACTGGATATTCGCCGGCATACCTGACACAAGGAAGAGAACCGCGACTGCCCCAGGCATTATATGATCAGCTCACAACAGGAACTGGTGCTAGAATAGTCTTACCAGAAGACCGTGCCCAGGAGTTGAAAGAAATATTTAAGATAGTGCGTCGAAACTTGGCAAAAGCATCTCAAAACCAGCGGAGACAGTACAACCTTAGACGACGAGTTTGGAAACCAAAGATTGGGGAGCAAGTTCTAGTTCGTCTACATCCTCAGTCGAAGGCCGTCGAAAATTTCGCCGCCAAACTAGCGCCCAAATACGGAGGGCCGTTTGTCGTACAAAAATTCCAATCTCCAGTAATCGTTGTAGTCCGAGGAAAAGACAACATCACCCGCGTCGCGCACTTAAGTGAAATTAAGCCTTTTTATGAAGAACAAAATTAAATTGTAGACATAGAAGTAGAATGTTGATTGTAGTTCCACTTACGTTTATGTGATGCCATTTCATTATAATTTCTTATTTTATTTTTAGACATTAAATTGACAATACCCAAACTAATCAGTGTCCTAATATAAGCCCATACTTCAAAGACCATCGCAATTCTCAAAATTTCAACATCACGATGGAGCAAGATAGCCCCAACACGAAAAAATTCAAACGGGCGAAGGAGAAATTTCGAGCTCATCTGGAACAAGTCGAGGCTCAAAGGCGAAGGACAATATTTTTAGACGAAGGTCCTAGTACCAGCCGAAAGAGGAGAACAAATCAATACCGTAAGCCCAATCCAAGAAAGGGTAGCAGTCAATCCTCATCGCCCCAGCACCAAATATTTTACCGAATGTGCAGCACAACCCCGAATGACGTTCCACAGCAAAAGTGTAACACGACCGAAAACAACAGCGACGATATCGATGAAACTGACTCTTTGAACGAGGAAACCCAGCCTAGTAGTGACGTCCCGCGTACACCAACCTACGCCCCGTGTTTTGGTTCGCCAAATAGCTTTAAGCCGGCTTCCGATGTGCTCTCAACACCCACTTCAAGGTGCTCAGAAATGCCTGTTACACCGGGTAAAGAATGGTGTCGTGACTCAGATGACGCATCAACTCTTCCTCGGCCCAATATGGAGGAGTCGGGTGAATCTCAATCAAATTTCGAAATGGATGAAGAATGTCGGCGTATGTTTTACGGTTACTTAGAAACCGCAGTGACTCGGCGAGCACAGTCACCCTTATCCTCGAATAATTCCTCGCTGGATGAGTCGGATAACGAAGATCAACGTTCCTCGTCTCCGCCAAAAAGGTATGGTCTGGGATTTGTCCGTCAGAAAGATAGCCAATACAAATATCTCGGATTTCGCTGTTATGAGAGAACAGTTACTGTGCAGCTTTTGGTCCCCGACTCCGGGGAAAATCCAATATATGAAATAACCAACCCACCGCCGGATAATCATCGTACGCCCTCACCCACACCCGCGATAGGGGAAGAGATCAACACCGAAGATATCCATTCAATATCCAACACCTCACACAAACATGAGGAGGTTCCTACTTCATCCTCACATGCTTTCGCACATTTAGAAGAAGACTCCAGATCGACCGCAAGTAGTTTTGTGACAGTTTCCGAAGATCCTAGTTCTGAGTGGTGGACCCAATGGCAGACGCTGGTTGGTGTTCCTCCATCATCACCGCTATATAACATAACCGAACAAGCAAATCTGTTGCATAGTGATGACGTACAAATTCCATCGCAATCCAATGCTGCCGTCATATCGGACGATCACAGGTCCCCCAACGTGAAGGAAGATAAATCATTACCAGGAACGCCGGGACACGTTGTCGAACTGTCATCACCATCGATGTCTTCCCGATCGTCATCCTCATCCTCATCAGCCTCGTCGTCTTTATCGTCATCCTCATCCTCATCAGCCTCGTCGTCTTCATCATCATCCACAAGCCAAACGATGACACCTCATCAGCCAACATTGTGTAGCAGTCAACCTTCCATCGATGAAGTGTTTATACCCAGTAAGGAGAATAATAGCACACCAAGTACAATCAAATTGCCAGTCACTGAAATCCCAACTGAGTCAACGCCATCGTCCTCGACAGACAATCCCGTGAACGATAACACATTTCTCGAACTGCCAAATTATCCCGAAAACCTACAAATCCGTATCGAGAAGTTTAAAAACAATTGGAAAAAGGGACACAAACTGAAGCGAATTGTTAAACAAGATGGCAAGCAGTACCGCATAATAATATCAGCAGACGGGGTAGTGAAGGTATCTCTCCGAACTTCTGCAATTGGTCTCTAACATACCTTCCTATTCGACCGAGATATAGTCGAACCAAAGTGCCCATGTCGGAGAAATAAAAGGTTACATAACACCCTAGGGCTTCCTGGCTATTGAAACCCAATAGCAATAGAGAAAGCAAATCAAGGAATCAAAAATCAGAGGGAGGAAGAGATGCCATGTAACGCCCAAAAGTCATGCTTTCGTTTTTGGGGTACATTATTATTTTAAATACCATTTTTACTTACGTATGTTATATACATCAACTATGAATTATATTTTTTGTTTGAAAATGAATTAAAATATTTAAGTTATGAATTAAACTAACAGCTACTCAGGGTCATGTAATTTAAATGTATTTGAATATTAACGGTCACACAGGTCCCCTAGTAGAAAGAAGTATACTTAAAATACAACATTGGAACCCCTGGTGGCAAATGGCGGAACTACGCAAAACTGTCAGATTGGGATCAGCTGCTGTCATGAGAAAACAACAATCGTTGTCCAGCCAAAAAGGTATAAAAGGAGACGCATTTCACACAATCGAGATCAGTCTTCTGTTGATGGCTGGTAAGTCAAGTGTGATTGGGAGGAAGAAAAGGCGCGCAACCTCGGTTGAATTGAGTCTTAGTAAGCCAAACAATAAGCCTTGACTATTTGTGGTGACTGGACTGGACTGAACGCAGGGTCAAGTGAGGGTTGTAGCAATACTCCCTATTCTTCGGGCTGCGTTGACGGCGACTGAACGCAGGGTCAAGTGAGGGTTGTAGCAATACTCCCTATTCTTCGGGCTGCGTTGACGGCGACTGAACGCAGGGTCAAGTGAGGGTTGTAGCAATACTCCCTATTCTTCGGGCTGCGTTGACGGCGACTGAACGCAGGGTCGAGTGAGGGTTGTAGCAATACTCCCTATTCTTCGGGCTGCGTTGACGGCGACTGAACGCAGGGTCAAGTGAGGGTTGTAGCAATACTCCCTATTCTTCGGGCTGCGTTGACGGCGACTGAACGCAGGGTCAAGTGAGGGTTGTAGCAATACTCCCTATTCTTCGGGCTGCGTTGACGGCGACTGAACGCAGGGTCAAGTGAGGGTTGTAGCAATACTCCCTATTCTTCGGGCTGCGTTGACGGCGACTGAACGCAGGGTCGAGTGAGGGCTGTAGCAATACTCCCTATTCTTCGGGCTGCGTTGACGGCGACTGACGTACTCATCGGGCTGCTGCTGTGCCAAAGCTGCCGCCACCCGATTCGTCGTGCGCGTATTCATCGGGCCGCCGCTGTGCCAAGCTGCCGCCACTACTACTCGCCGCTGACGTATTCATCGGGCCGCCGCTGTGCCAAAGCCGCCGCCACCCTATTCGCCGCTCGCCTATTCATCGGGCCGCCGCTGTGCCAAAGCCGCCGCCACCCTATTCGTCGCTCGCCTATTCATCGGGCCGCCGCTGTGCCAAGCTGCCGCCACTACTATTCGTCGCTCGCCTATTCATCGGGCCGCCGCTGTGCCAAGCTGCCGCCACTCTATTCGTCGCTCGCCTATTCATCGGGCCGCCGCTGTGCCAAGCTGCCACCACTGCTACCCGTTTATTAACATTTCGACTGAACTTTGTGATTTAGTGTTCTTCGTAAAACGTTCTGAACGTGATTTTATTGTGTTTAGTGTAGTGTTAGTGTTATTTAAGGAAATAAATTTATAACGTTTTAAGAAAATATTTTTGCTTCGCTCTCTCTCTCTTTATGTCCTAACAAATAAATTTTTGTGACGACTCTGGCCCCCGCTGAACCTACCCCAGCTTCAAAGTGAAAACACGTCGTCACACTTTGTTGCAGTTTTTTATATCACCCTGTATCTGAACCGATTTTCACCAAATTTGAAGTTCTTAATTCTATCTATTCTAATTAGAGGAAATTTTAAATTGAACGAAGATATGTAAGGGAGCTATATATCTTTCTACATTTGGACCGATTATCAGAAATTTCAATAGGGGTCGCCTTTGAGCCAAACAAATTATTTGCAAGAAAATTCATCTCAATCGGACTATAAATGCGACCCGAACTTTGTTTAGAAAAATACATGGGCGGAAAATATGATTCTATGGGGATAGCCAAAAAGAACTATGGGTCTATTTCGTTTCCTTCATGCAAACAGACATAATACAATGTATTACAGTGAGGCGGAGGGTATAAACAGTGTATGACAATGTGACTCTAATAAAATGTGTAATCTGACCTCAAACAACAATGCCTGAGTTATGAGTTGAGTAAAGCCGGTTGACGGGACCTTGATCGAGTGAGTTGCCAAAACCATTGGGATTGGAGCTGTCAGTCCATAAAACGCATGTTTTTTCCTTCGTTCGTTCCCACGCCTCTCTCACCCGCCCCTGCCGATCGAGGGGGCCACCTCCCTATACGTAGAGAGCGCGTACACACCAAAGTCCGGACTAAGGCGGGTTAGCAATGGTTTCACACCGGCTGTGTTTGGTTTATGGACTGACAGCTCTGCAATTGGAGAGCTGTTCAGATCTGGGACTAAGCACCAAAATACTCTGTGATAACTAAATGTAAATTCCAAATTCTAAAATGTAAATTCCAAATACCACAAAAGTCAAGTTTTGAATGATTACATGTGATGTAAGAGTCCGATTGTCTTTAAATTTCACACATCCCAATATTTTTATCAACCCAAGGTTTGGTGTTAAGATGGAATATACCAGTCCTCTCCTTCAGGTACCTCTCCTACAAAAGGTCGAAATTTTCAAAAAATATTTTTTTGCACAGAAAGAGAAACTATAATCCGATTTTGCTCCAACTTTGCAAACCCTAATATTTGGGTCAGTGCTAAGTCGTGTGTGAAAATAGACAATATCGGCACATATGAATATTCCTATCAACACAAGATCTGTTATGAAGGCGGTAGAGATCGGACCATTCCTCTTGCACCTCCCCACAAAGGTTTAAATTTCTGAATAACCAAAACGTTTATAATAAGCATCAGGTTCTCTTTATATTCCACACATACCATTATTTCTACTAACACAAGATCTGTTATGAAGATGGGATATATCGGTCCTCTCCTTTTGGATCAACATTTTGAATTTCCATGCAGCTAATAAAACGCGAAATTAACATTTGATTCCACTCAGACTTGGCACATCTCAATATTTCTATCCACCCAAAATCTGTTATAAAGATGGTAGAGATCGGACCATTTCTTCTGGTACCTGCCCCAAGATTTTGAGAAACCAAATGCTCAAAGTAAGCCAAATAACCGTTCAACTCTCTTCAAATTTCACACATACAACTATGTTTGGTAACACAATATCTGTTGTGAAGATGATATATAGCTACGAACCACTTCTGGTACCTCGCCCACAAAGGATCACAATTTTCAATACTTTTATCTGTTATAACTTACGAAACATGTCAGCTATTCTTTACAATTTGCTATATCTAAATATTTCTCTCAATTTAAGAGGAATATGGATTTTATGATGAAGTTACCAATATAGACCAAACCTGGCACGTGGCAATATTTATATCGCATTTATTTAGATCCGATATGCACTGGACAATATTGCCCCATTCCTTCAGAACTCACTCCATGGAGGGTCAAGAGTTTGGATAATCATAACAGAAGTGAAAATATATTTACATAATCGAATATTGGTTGAGGGTATGCGTCTATCGGCAGAACGAACTGATACTTTTTAACCTGTGAAAAAAAAATCTGTTGAAAATTTGGATAAAATGTCCAAAATACCAAATTTTTGGGGTAATCGTAATGAGTGATATAAGAAATAAGACCCATTATTCCTTATATCACCGAAGGCAGAATCCATTACAAACTTCGTATACTGAATTTCAAACGGTTGCGCTGTATATTAAAATTAGAGCTTGAAGTATTTCTATGTTTTAATATTTTTAATCCTTTGTGGAAAGTCAAAATAAGCTATGTTATGAATTAGTTCAAATTAAATCAATTCTCGTTTTTTTTTCTTTTGTACACATACAACATTTTTTCTCCCTACCTTTCTTCAACTTCGGTTTAGCCTAAATGTTAACAATTTTCATACAAAGATCCTGATTAAAATAAACATATTTGCCTTTGTTTTCTCTTTTTTTGGTTATCTAAATAAACATGCCATGTTTGAGAAGAGAATTTTTATTTCCACTTTTTTTCTCGAAAAGAATATGCATTTTTGCCCTCCGATTAACATGAGACAAAAACGAAGTAGCCAAAAAAACACAAACATGGACCGCAATATCATGAAATATATCCGCATTAAGATGGCAGAGAAAAAAAAAACAACAAAACAGAACGAAATTGCTTCACAACAACATCAAGTTTTAATTGTCATTTAGCTTTAAGTCTAATAAACAACTAAAAGCAGCTATTTCCGAACAACAGTTGTTCTTGTTGTTGAGCAAACTGTTTTAGTCCTTTTTGTTTTGTTTTTGGCTAAAAACGCACTGGACACCAATGACACTGCTGGCAATGATAGCATGATTATACGAATAGAAATCCGTGACACATGCTGTAGGTTTGTATTAAAATTTAAATGGGTGGTTCGATAAGTTGTAGAGAATTTATATGATTATTAATTAAGCCATCGGAACCCAGTTGTGGTTAATGGAATTGGTTTTTTAAATTATAATCTGATATTTTTTGCTACAATATCTTGAATTTTTTTTTTGTGTTAATTGAAGAGAATATTCTAAATTGGTGGCAAAATTACCGAAGTTAAATAATTTTGTTTATGTTGTTTGTTATATTTATACCCTACATCACACTGAGGCCAGGATAATTTGTCTTTGTGCATTTGTTTGTATGTACATGGAGAAGGAAGCGAGATAGACCCTTAGTTCCTTTTGATGATCTGCATAGAATCATATTTTGAATCGGTTTATGCCAATCCGTCCGCCTGTCCATGTATTTTTGTAAACAAAGCACAGGTCGCATATTTTGTCCGATCGATATGAAATTTTGCACAAATGATTATTTGGCCCAAAGACGAACCCTATTGAAATTGGAGATAATCGTCCGATTTTTCTTTTATTGTGCACGCAATGTGTAATAATAGTCCAAATTGCATAGAATTTGGCACACACGACCAAATTGAGCCTAGAAGCAAGTATTTCAAATTTTGTGGAAATCGGTTCATATATGTAGCTTACATGTATATTGTTTATACGATTTGTTATTTTTGTCATCCACAACCGTAATATGCACTCCGTTATAACTATATTCGGGAAAATATATGAAATATAGTCCAGAAATACCTTTGCCAAATTTTATCAAGATCGGTTCAGATTTGGATATAGATTTCATATTTATATTTACTCGTTTTTAAGTTTTTTGCGGACCAAATGGTACATTTTTTTTTAAAAAAAATTTTAATGGATAAAGGCAAAAAATGTCGGAAATAGCATCAAATTTTAAAATAAGTTTAGATTTTTCTTCGAATTGGTCACCCTTCAAACGGCAAATGTAACAGTCACACGTTGCCCGAATGTTGCTCTGCGGTATGTTGGGCCATTCCCGGCGAAGCGCTTGCTTGAGGTTATCGATACTTTGGTATTTTGTAGTGCCAACCTTGCTTTCCAAAATACTCCACACACAATAGTCCAACGGATTGGTATCCGGAGATTTTGGTGGCCATTGTGCGCTGGAAATGAAGCGAAGAACCCAATTTTGTAACCATTCTTAGGTGGCGCGTGCTGAGTGCGATGGGGCTGTGTTCTGTTGGAATGTCCAAGGTCTGCGGCAAAAATGTTTGCGTGCCCATGGTTTTAATACACCCTCCAGAATATTTTCGCGATAATATTCGGCATTTATTCTGATCGATTAAAACGAGAGGAGGGCGACCATGGCCGGCGCTTGAGTTCTGGTAGCCAATCGAAGGTGCACATTTTCAGCTGACCTCTTTATCAACTAAACACGATCATTTTGTTTGTTTACAAACTGCTGGTCAACGAATGTTTTCTCATCGGAGAAAACCAAATTCGGCAGTTCACCACTTTCGGCCAAGCGGAGCAACTCTTTAACTAGTTTGAGTCTATTTTCTTTCTGTTGCGGTGTAAGATCTTGCACTTTTTGGAATTTAAATGGCTTTATCTCGAGCTGATTTTTCAATATTTGCCGAATGGAATATTGCGATATGTTCAGCTCACGAGCCATCTTTCGGCCACTGCGGGTTTTGATCAAGTCGCTTCTTCACTTTTCGAACCATATCTGCTGATGTCGGGCTACGCTACCAGTATTACGGTAACGAGCGATGGTACAAGACACAAAACATTTATTCACATTTAAATGCTGGAGTGCTCTAACGATAGCCACTTGCGGTTTTCCAGCCAAATATAAAGAAAGCATACTATCACGATTAAATTCCATCACGTATAACTTTTTTCTGGAAAATTCTCACCAAAATGCTTTTATACGCTTGTAAACAATATAATGAGCTGTCACTGGAATATTTTTTACAGCTGTTGGACGAGTGGCTTAGAAATGACAGCAGTCTGAAGATGGTTGCAGTTTTTTTGTCTCAGCTTTATATTCCTGATCAGCATAAAATTCTATTTCGAAGTAACCTTGACCGTCCGTCTGTCCGTCTGTGCAAATCCCGAATGAATTGAATTAGGTTAATTTTACTCAAATATGTGTTTGGTCGGTATGACTTTTTTTTTAAATGGTAAATAAGTCCACGTTTAGGTATTGGCCCCATATAACTGTACCTCCCTATATTCGGTATTTGCTGATTTCAACGACATTACTTACCGTAGTTACTTCAAATTTCGTATTTGAAGTTTCTAATG